AGTCCCATGATCCCTTAAGTAACCTTGCTGCCGATGAATTCAGACCTCAGGGCGCCGGGTTAGTCTCGGTCCTGCGCTTCGGTTTAGCGGTTCATGTGCACATGTAGTAAGAACAGTAAGTTAATACCCATAAGAATAGCGATAATCAGAATAATGGCGATCATGAGAATAACAAGGACTATAAAAGTCAGTAATATCATGGCCATACGGTCTAACATGGTGATCAATTTTTAGTCTTGGAGTCCAAGTTTTAGCACTTGGAACCGTACCTATGGCTTCCCACGAGCCATCACGCATCGTGTGCAACATGTGCAACTTACCCGCACCCAAATCCAACTACTTGTGCTCGGTTCGAACTAGGGTTAATTACTATAAACCCAAAACCGCCCGAAACCTTGCTTGCTGAAACTCTTGCAGGAGAGCAAGTGGGGCCCTGGACGTCCGGGTGCCTTGGCTCGGCTGGTCCAAGTAGGGATATTCTTGGTTTCGGTCCCGAAACTGAGAACGCTTGACCTTGCTGTGACTCTATATGAAGTCGCTCCAGGGTGCAGGCAGACTCTGAAACAACACACAGTTGCGCTTTTCGATGTTTGACAGATTGCCGCGGACATTGTTGAGTCGGGTCTGATGTTCTGCTCACGGCCTGCACAGTGTTTGCAGGTATAGGGTTGCCGATTGGGGATTTGAAGTGATACTGATAGGCTTTGGGATTTCAGGCTCTCTTCCCACAAGCCATGTTCTTAGAAGGAGATCCGTAGCTGCAACAGGCTGGCACATTGAGTGCTCTGTCATGGCCACAGACGTCAATGGGGAGTACCTGGATATCCATGCTGGAGGTTGCTTGGACTTAGAGGTTATGCAACTACAGGTTATGAGTATATATATATATGTATGTATTACATATGTTCTGTTTCGTCTAGATGCCATTGAATGGTGGTGCATCTCAAAAATCATGTCAGCAGTATACTGCGAGTCCGGCTTTGCTCACCACGGTGCCGAGGTGAAGATCTCAAGTTCCCGCGGCTCTGCTGGAACGTTGAAGTCTAAATAATTGCCTATACCATTTTGGGGTTTCGTTATTATAAACTTATAGTATAATGGGCCCCGAAATCCAATTCTAATTATTATAAGCCCCCTATATTAAGTGTGGTTGAGGATCAGTTCTGGGTCGACACACATTTTACATCCCGGCGCGTCCACCTCATCTCCACATGCCTGGGTCTCCACTTGTTCATACCGTGCTGAAGATGCCTGTTTAGGGGTTTCAGCAAGGCATCACGACAACGAGATGGCGCAATCCGTGGCGTGGCCGTTCCAGTTCTGTTTGGCTTTGTTGTCTGAGGCGTCGCAGCATGGTCGTCTTTGGAGTGGGCATGTCGAAGTGTCCCGAAATCATCGACGCTTGTTATGCCCATAATTATGCATAAGCCGTAGCAAAAACACCCCCCAAGCAGAAGTAAGACCACCCAATTCTGAGCAATGCGCATATTGCCTAGGAGGCCTACCTGCAGAGATCCCAGTGGGTGAACTATTTCTGGCATGCTGGCCATTTGCACATCGAAGGCCTCCAAGAGCACCGCGGCATGTCCATGTTTAGGGTCTAGGGTTTAGGGTTTCTAAGCAGACTTCCCCGGCCGACTTCCCAAGCCCGGATGCAAAAGGGTTTGTAATCATGACACCTTCCGGTGTTCCTGTGGGTGCCTGCCTGAAACCGGCTTTGTTGTCCCTGTGCATGGCTACTACAGTTGCTTCAACTTCCTAGAAATGCGCATTCCATGGCCTTTACTGTCTGGTTCTTAGTAGGGAATGGGGGAATGGATCCCTATAATAGTAGTCCCTAAATAATAGGGAGATGAGTTGAAAGTCGCACACCCGCGAATTCTTGGAACATTCAGCATGCCTGAGACGATGCAGAGCAGAAGTTCCCGAAAGTCACAGCCGGGTCACGGCTTTCGGAACGGTTTAGCTTAGGGTTTAGGGAACCCTTAGGGTTAGGGAACCCTTAGGGCTGAGATCCAGGCGGGTATGTACAAGTTTGTGCCAAAGGGAACCCCTAAACACTGAGCCCGAACCCTGAGTCTCTCACCTGGAGTTAGAATAGGGTTTTGGGCCCCATTATAGTATAGTTATAATAAGGAACCTCCAAAACAGTAATTATAGGTAATTACTACTCTTTAGTACTTCCTTTGCATGGGCAGTGTTTGGCATGAGCAGGACTGAAGATGTCGAAGTCCCTCAAGAACTTCATCACGCATCTTGGACAGGTTGGGGATTCAGGATTTATAGGACCGACATTCAGGCAATTGCACAAGTCCTGATGCAAAAAAAGGTTCATGACGTTTCAGGGCTTGCTTCCGAGCCCTTTGGGGAAATATCGAATGCATGACCTCGACCCAGAAACCCTTTCTAAAGCCTAAACTCCAAACCCCTAAACCCCTAGACCCTGAAAATTGCAAGTCCTTTTTGTTTCTTGCCGTCAGCGGCTGAGGATTCGCCAAGCTCTCGGGATGCATTCTCCCCGGCAGCTGCGGATGATGTTCCTCATGCAGGCGCGGTTTAGGGATTTTAGGGGTTTTAGGGTTTATAAAGGGTTTGATGGTTTAGGCATGGATCAGCTAGAGTATGTTGAGGTGGAAAAGCAGGCATGTTACACAATGTTGAGTTTGTCTTTGAGGTGTTGGTGGGGCCGTGCTCTGGCAGCCCACATCGCATCCTATTTCTAGACATGGGAGCTGTAGTAAATAATTAGTAATAACGAGGAGAAAATGAGGGACCCGACATGGTAGTTGATCTAAAGCTCCTTGGGCCATACTTTGTATGAAAGGCAAGAAAGGCCAACTGCATAGATAAATATCCCTCCGCGAAAGTTCCACGATGGTGCCGCGAAGGTTATTTCATCGTATTTGACTTACTTGCCGTAGGTTTGCTCTTCCTGTTGCTACCAGTAGTGCTATTAGCCATATATGATAGACCCCGTGTGCGGCGATCCTCCACCTTAGGCCTCGGCGAATCGCATTCAAATCTGACATTCAATGGGAAGATTGCGAAGGTGGCAGGCTTGGATGTTCTCAATTCCCGTTCATGGGTAGTTCTCTAAACTAGGGTCCTTGCTTCAGGTTCCACAACTGGCACGGCACCCGTACAAGAACAACCTTAGAAGGGACCCTAATTTAGAGCATTACCCTTTTAGCCGTATCCTAGAAGGGACCCTAATTTAGAGCAGTACCCTTATGGTCTATTCATCAGTCCCTTTTTTGGCGGGCCTTAACAGAACGAAGCAGACCCCTCCCAGCCTGGCAACTCGCTGAAACTCAGCTCCTCCATCGGACGCAGGTGCGCGAAAATGTCCGCCGGGACGTTGAGTTCTACAGGGGTCTGAACCATTGCTAAAAAAGTCTTCCTATGTCCCCATACAGTTATACAGTATAATATCATATAACCCGAAACCTTCATAGTGCTAAGGCTGCTATCTTGCTCCAAAACTACCAAATCCCTGTCTATTATCTAGGCCGCCACAGCAAGGCAAGCTGCCATGCTAAAGCCCCGAACCCATCAATATCCACCACATCTTCTGTCTCGGAGCCCAACGACGACAATCCTTACGCCGGAAACTCTGACGTTGTCCTGCGACAGACTACAAGCCCTTAGCCTGCAAAAGCCCGAGCCGAAATACGGGAGCGAGTTTAAGCAACTTCGTGGGTTCGTATGGAGAGGCCTGGGACAAAGGCATGAACTACTCTGATCAGGCCGGTGAATAAGGTGCAGGAGTTTAGGGCGCGGGAATCCGTGGTTAAGGGTTTTGGGCAGTTCAGAGTTTAGGGGTTCAAGGCTCAGTGTATAAAAAACTTCCGATGTTTGAGGCATGTTAGGCTTTTCAAAGTAAATACTTTTCCGTGCTGAGAGCCGGAGAATGCCCATGGGCCCGCAAGCTGTAGCTTCTCATCAGAGGCTCCTCTCAGAACGTGAGGCGAAGACTATAAAGCCTAAACCCTAATGAAGACTTCCAGATTTCGTCTGATTGCAAGCTGCTGCTTGAAAGTTGGGGGCTGGTACGTAAGTTACTTGTGCTTTCGGATGTCTGCTTTGCATCCCCTACTGCATCCTGTAACAACTTGTGTGCATCCTGCAACCCTTTCGAAAGCATGGTGACGGCCAAAACCCTAAACCTTTAGAGCCTTAAACCCTACGCCCTAAACCCTAAGCCTTAGACCGTAAAACCCAAAACCATGTCAAGAGCTTCAAAAGATTTTCTAGCCTCAAATTAGGGGATCAACTTTCCAGATCCTCCTTACTCACAACTAAATCCCGAACGTTACACAACCCCCAAACCCTAAACCATAAACCCCAAACCCCTAAATCCTAAACCCTGAACCTTTTGAACCCTAAACCCCTAAACCCCAAACTGTACCTGAGAGGCCATTGACATGGCAAAAGTCGAGGAGAGGCGAGCATGGCGCCAAGATCTCTCTGAGAGAGCTGAGAGGGTCCGGGAATCGATGAGTTTGCAACTCTGGCTGTCATGGCCTAAAGCCATCTCTAGTGACTGCATCAAGGGAGATTCTTAAACCAAGTGTTGACTAAGTGCCTGCAGGGACTACTTGAGCCCTCGACAATCTTCTGAACATCTCTGTTGTTCTGTTGCTGTCTGACCCTCCATCTGCTTGGCTGTCAGGTATATTCGGTTCAGCATGGGTCATGCACCAAAGTTCATGAGCCTACTCAGGTGCACTGATGTCTCACACAACTGGAGCCCAGCCCATCCCTGCAAGCAGTGCTCCCCACACCATATCCTCAAGCCTTTGCATGCGGCATGAGCATAGTTTCAGCCTGGTCGGAATCCTCATACTGCGCACACGGAAAAGAGCCACATGACAACCACGCGCGAATCGATGCTAAAAGCTGAAAGGTTTATTGTGTTTGCTTGCAATAGTGACCTCAGAACTTTTATGGTTGAGCTATGGACTTCATAGGCCCCTAGAAGGGCGTCCGCCAAGCGTGAGATGTGGCCGGCGAATCCAAGCGGGATCTCGCTTGTGAGGCCCAAGCTGGGGAGAATCGGGGGTTTTGATATAGAGGCGTTTCTTGTTTGGGTGTTTCCGAAAATCAAGGGTACCTTATTTTGGGGTCCTTATAATAAGGACTTACTATTATTTTAGGATACTTACTACTGTATATTAGGGTCCCCTGGTTTAAGAAAATCCCAGATGTTAGGAAACCATGTTCACTGTCAATGCAAAAACTTCGAGCCGAACGGGTCGTGAAAACATGAGTTTCTATGGTGTAGACTATCATGACATAATTGGGGGGGTACCCTTTGTCCTTGCAACAAATACCCGGCTGCTTCAGGCATATCACGTTACTGTTTGTTCGGAAATTCCCATATTCATATTCAGTTCACGTGGCAGCACGGGGGAGGTTTGTAAAAACGAGGCCTATGCTTCTGTAGTAGTGAGAAGTGCAAAAGCATTGTCTGAACATAGATGTGATGCGACGAAGGTGTTCGAACAGGGAGATGATTTACTATGTGAAGACCTGAACTTCGACAGACAGATAGATAGACAATGTCTACGATGTGTTCGGTAGTTTGGGTGTGCAATACTGTAGCCAACTTGATGCGACACGAGGTAGATCTTGCCTTCACATGTACGGTTGTTACGTGAGACACATACACGCAGACGCACACGATACGTACAAAGAATCAGTCACTGTACTGACATTTCAGGCTCCGTTTCTCTGGCAGCTTTTGGCTTTTGGTCGCTGTACAAGTTGTTACTGCTACTCTGCTGCTTTTGCGGCTGCCACTGTGCCTACTCCTTTGCCTGCCGATGAAATGCACCAGGGTACACACAAGTGGTTTTCCCCTCAAGCTGCCCTTCAACGAGGACCTACAGAGGTTTCACCAGCTTTGACGACGAGAGAGACCTGTCCTGCATCAGCTAGCAGCTGAAAGTCCCGGAACCGCACCAGTCACACTGATTACAACCCACATCAGATAGCAGGCGTGCTCATGGTGTTAGTTAGGCTCCCTTGTTGAGACCTTCCGGACATGCCAAGACAATTCTGCTTTGAGGTCCGACCTGTGATGTATTAGTTGCTGTCGCACTGAACCCTAATTCAACCCTTAACACCTAAACTTGAAACCCTACAACTTATTCAACTCTGTAGGCTTAAATTTGTTTGAAACATAGAACTCTAGACTCTAACCTCTACACTGGGCCTTGTTTTGCGCATCGTGGCTTTCTGTAGCTGAGGTGAAGTCCTGCGCATAAAGGAGCGCTTCGACGACTCTTGCCCTTGTAAGTTGGTATAAAGGTTACTAGACGGATTGCTTTGAGGGTGCCGTTATGAGTTCCAACAGCGGCTACCGTAGGGGCTTGGCTTCGCTCGTATACACCTTCTGCCAAGGTTTATCCCCGTCTCCAGCCTTACTTCAGATCCCAACTCTCACACCTTCAACCCAAGAGAATTCAAATCCTGATCCCTGATCCTAAAGTCCCCAACCCTGTTCGGCTGTGTTGTCTTCGATGCACACACAGTTGTGTCTAAGTGCTTTGCCGTGAGGGTGCATGGTTTTATGGGGTACTCCGCGGATCAGTGGGCTCAGCGTAAGTAGGCGATGGCAAACTTGAAAGTACCCTTGCCCCAATGGGTAGCCATACTCACAATTACAAGTAGATCCAAACCCCAGACCTTCAACCGTATCCAGAAAGTGACTTACCCCTCCGTAAGCATAACACTGTCAATCCTGTAAGCATGTTCCGAGAGATTCCCCAGGCAGCATACCTTCAACCACAAACCCTTAATCGTCAAGCACAGGCCTACTGTCGGAAAGATGGCGTCCACCCGGATGGCGCAAGGCATTTTGGTCGGAAAAAGTCTGGTGGCACTTTCGGAAAGTACGGCATTCCTAACCCAGACCGAGGCTCCAGAAGATCAACAGCGAATTACCCTTTCCGTGTCAGCGCAAACCAGCAAGATCCAGCAGCAGTGGCAGCAATCGCTGCTCCTGAAGATTTGAAGAAGCCTCTACCTTCCATCAGCGCAAACCAGCAAGATCCGGTAGCAGTGGCATCGGTCGCCGCTTCGTTTCCCTTCAGGTGCTTCACCCTGCCGTGGCATCGTGATTGGCTCTCCGACTCAGTGACTATTGATTTCTGAGATGCCTAGTTACAGGTGCCGCGGACGTGGCTCTCTATGCTTGCACTGTGCAAGAACTAGTTGACATTGACAATGGCTTATAGAAGTCTTCGGAACTTTACGTGTTGCGGTGGACAAGCTGCCAGGTTCGCACCCTCTCGGACCAAGGACCTCTTGTGGCGCCAACCTGAGCCAGATCGCGATGTTTTTTCTTCGGATTTGGATTGAATTGTAGGATTTCGGATGAGCCTGGACAGAGTGGTCCGCGTGGACTGCTAGCCGCTAGCCCATACCTCTTTGCTTTAAACAAGGGCGCCTACCGATCCCCTGCGAGTCTGCGATGGTCGACTTTGGGTGAGCTGGTATAAAGCCATATATCACTTTACAGTACGAGATCCTTTCAGTCATAAGGACCCCTAGGGGGGAGGGGGTAGGGGCCCTTAATACTTACAATAAGGACTTAAGAAGGCGAGTATGGTCCCCTGCCCCCCTCCCCCCTAAGCCCCTAAGGGTCCCTATGATTCAGCTTTCCTTTCACAACCGATGGCGAAAGGAAACAAGCCTGGCCGCCTCAACCAATCCCCACAGCCTTGCAGGTCACGTGATCACTACGACATACTATAGGGTATTAATTTGTACTCTGAAGTCTTCGAATATATACTGTAATATACCATAGTAGTATAAACACTACTAACGTAGACGCCGCTGATTGCCTTACTACTAGGGTCACTCTTCTCATCCTCATTCAGCAAGGGGGCTGCGTCAATCAAGGGTTTCATACCATTATCCAAAAACCCGACACCTTGGGCCCCCTTCATAGGGAGCCCGTAAGACCCTGAGCGCTGAAACCCTCGAACGTAAGGCTGGTCCAGACAGCAGAGGAAGAGTACGACCTTTTCCAGCAGGTGCTTGGCCTTGAACCAGAGTGGGCTCAAATTTTCTGGGTTACCTTGGGTGTTTCGGGTGGACCTGAAGGGACGTCCCTTCTGTTGTTGCCTGATTTTTCTCGGCCGTCACCATAGACGCAACTTACCCCAACATGTGCTATACCCACCACCACCGACACACCCTGTGGGGTTCTTTCGCTCATTCAATAAAACCGAGTGGTGTCTAGAAACCTGGGGGGCTTGGTGTGCTTTGGGGCTCATGGGATGGTCTGAGGAGCCTCACCGGGTAATGGAGGGACATGATTTATATGGGCATTTGAGGGGATCTATAGGGGGTTCCTGTAAGGGTTCAGGGACAGACATGCTAAAGGGGCTCTGTGATGGATAGCACGGTTTATGCGAGTCGAGATCCATGGCTTTGCAAGTTGCACAGATTCAGTTGAGATGATACGGGCATGAGACATAAATCAGACTCTCATGGGAGCTCTGTAACAATTGTTTTTTTTATCAACGCTTTGCTTCCCTGAGCGCAAGATGGAAAAGGCAAGCACCATAGCCCTCAAACTAGCATACAGGCTCCAGGCAGAATCTTAAGCCGCGCGTGGCTCTAATCCCTTAGCCCCTGAGCCTAAACCCTTGAACCTTTAGCAACCTCTAAGCCCTAAGAGCCTCAACTCTGCACCGAGGAAGAAGGCCACCGTCCAAAGAAAAAACAAAAAAGAAGCGCCTAACTTTGGACCCGGACACTCAGGTGTACAAGGTCTTCAAAGGTGAGGTCCCGACGTTCCTGCGGGAGAGCCTGGTGAATCAGAACCTGAGGCCGCCCCCGCCGGGGAGTTTTGGGTTTGTTAGGGTTTAGGGTTTGCGAGGGCTTCGGGTTCAGGGTTTAGGGTTTCGGGTTCAGGGTTCAGAGTTTAGGGATCAGAGTTTCTAATTCAGTGTTTGGGGCTCATGGTTCTGAGTTCAGCGTTAGGGTGTCTTCAAAGGGCTCTGGGAGGGGGTTTATAAGGGCCCTTAAGGAACAGGGTTTGTCCAGGAGACAATACTTACGGGTTTCCGGTTTCGGGGTTGTAGGCTCAGTTTAGTATTCCTGTGGGGGATTGTGTACGAATTGCAGATGGTAATTTTGAGCTGAGGAGTTGGGGTGAGGGGACAGAGAAGGCTGCCCTGTTTGCGATTGGAGTTCCTTTCTGTGATTCAGAGATGCGATGTGTAGTTGCTGTCGCTTTGTCGTTCCATATGCACATAGACTCTTATAGACCGTGTCGAAAACTCGCTTTGGCAATTATTTTTTCCGACACTGTGTGTCTCCAAGCCAAGGCCGTACATCTACATCAGTTTCCAGATCCAGACACAGGAGGCCGGATCTGGTCGACTTCCTGATGGCATCCATGACCGGTGCGGGATCTACAGCAAGCCTCAACCCTGAAACGCGCAAAGGCACTATAGACCCTATACTGTAGACCTGAAACACGCTTGGAACTGATAGCAGGCGGCAAAGCGACCAGCTTAACAAACACAATAATTGCTACAGTCCCACGTTTGACACATTGGGCTTTAGAGAATCGGAGCTCAGTGGAAGTTTAGCTTCAGGTCTGGGGCTTCGGGGTTTGGATCTTTTTACGTTCAGAGTTTCGCTGCCCTGTGTCTCGAATCGAAGGTGGAAAATCGGTACGTCGCCAAGCAGGCCGGGCCGTGCGCAAGTCAGCATCCGGTTGCATGGGAAAGTCTATTGAAAGTTCCGATCCCTTTCACTCGAGACGGGAGGCAAACGGTTTTGCTTTCTCTTCGTGTCTGCTCGAAGGTGGAGCAAGGAATTCCTCTTCAGTTCAAGATCGATGTCGTGAAGCCTGGCTGCAGCCTCTCTCGGCCGCGTTCAGTGTTCTTGAAGAGTGGAATTGGCCTGACAGTCCCGAGTGATAAACAATGTAGCACCCCGTGGCCTGAGTCTCCTCACATGTTCCCTTGCGACGAAGAGTCTTGAGCTTAGGTCTCAAGCCGCATGAACCCGCAACAATGACATGTAAACGGATGCATTATACCTGTTCGATGGTGTTAGAGAGTTGTATCTCAACTGTTCGGGACTTTTAGACTTGCTGCCAGCGATGCTGTTGCAAGCAGCTCGTGAACAGCGGGTTAGTCCTTACCCTGCAGCGTGGTGCCAAGCTCTCGCCCCCCCAAAACTAACAAACAGCAGCTGCAAAGCCTGATATACGCGGACTCGTGCATGTGCATCCGCGCGCTGGTGTGTGTGTGTGTGTGGAGAGAGAGAGAGAGAGAGAGAGAGAGAGAGAGAAAAAACAACAAGTTGTACGTTGATACACACTGTGAACAAGTATTATGTACGAACACAAGCGTTCTGCCCGAAGGCAAGCTGTCACAAGCTGTTTCGACACCCGTCGACGGCCTAAAATGATCCAATGAGATGGGGCGTCTGAGTAATAGCAGTACTCTTCCGTATTGCCTTCTATGTAGTCCCGGTTTTATAGGTGTAGAGAGTGTTACCCATCGGCTCCATAGAACTTCCTTTTTGGAGCTCATGTTTTTCAATCCTATAAGGTAGTCCCAAAAAGGAACTACTATGGAGCCTTTGGGTATCTATGCAAGAGGATCCCCGAAGGGGCCTCTAGAATCTGCAGCCCCTGGTCTGCTTGGAGGAACTTCGTCCTTCCGAAGATGGCGGAAGCCGTGCGGGCTGTGCTACTTGGAAAAGAGCGTAAAGGAAACCCCAAAAAGTTGGAATATGGATTAATGGTAGGATCCCCTATAATTTACCTTAAAGGGGTTACGATAATGATATTCCAACTTTCTGGCTTCTGCTGTAAGAGCTGCAGCTTCGGCACTTTGCGGCCTTTGTGGGTTCAGGATTTTGGGTCTCCCGCTAAGGCTTCGGATGTTCAGAACTCGTTGGGCTCTGCGTGAGCGTTGGGGGCTGAACGGCAGACCTCAGGAGGCCTGCGGATCTGGATTGGATGTCACATGACTATACATCAAGCCTGGATTAGGGCCGCAGGCAGGAGCCCAAGAAGGCCATAAACCCTAAACCGTTACAGAGCATGCTCTTGAGGCTAGACCCTCGGATGCGTGTCAGTGACATGAAGTTGTGTTTGCAGCTCTAAGGACGAAGCGGGAGAAATTCCTGATGGAAACCTGGCACGAAGTGAGAGAGGCTTTTGGTCCAACAAACTTCATAGTAACTTGAAGCTTAAAAACGTGAATGGCGAGCAGTTTCGGTAGCTTTTTTGAGAATCGCACAAACCCGAGTATCCCGCTGCACTGGCACATGCAAGGGGGCATTGTCGGAGTCGGAGCCTGCAAAGAAGGGATGCTGGCACATCATGTCTGCAGAACGTTTGATAATAAAGCTGAGATCCAACCTCAGGTTGTACAACAAGCTGGGGCTTTGTAGACTAGTCTAATAAGTCTCCTCAATGTCGTTCAGCGGCATGTAGCCACTGTCCTTCTGGAGCCCATGTCTGACACATGTCAGAATTTGCCTAATCTAAGTCGTAAAATTCAACTTTCAATTCTGCTTCTTCAACCAAGTGCCCAAGCCTAGGTGGTCGTCGATTGGAGTGGCCGAAGCTTCAATCACAAAGCTTGGAAGCTTTGTTGCAATTATGAGCGTTTCCGAAACTGAGGGGTCGCGGAAACTGAGGGGTCGCGTTTTGGATTTATCTCGGTGCTCCTACAGGTGTGTTAAAAAGCTGTTTAAGGTTCTAGACTGTAAAAGTTCTTCAGGTCCTTTGCTACCTGAGATTGCCACATGTCAACCGCATGGTACACACCGGGCATGCTCATAAAATGGAGTAGCACAGCGACTGGTGGGGCATTGTTCTCAAACTAAGCTATGTGGGAGTTTCTGAACATCAGGGGTACCATACTTTGGGGTCCTTTTAATAAGGATCCTACTATTTAGGGTACTATATTAGGGCCAGGGTCCCCTATTCTCGGAAACTCCCATGTAGACATGCAGACTTGTATTTGTGTGTGTGTGTGTATGTGCACGATTGTGTACATGCATGAACTCATGCAAACACAAATGCTGACATACATATGCGGTCGCGACTTCTTGGGTTCTGCATCAAGCCGTATTTCCCAGGTTGCTAGTATTAAAGGGGCGGGTAATCTTAGTCATCTGCATCATTCTGTCATGCCTTTTGGGCAAGAGCAGGGTATAAAGGTTGGGGCCTCAGGGGCTTTAGGAGTGTTATACATGTATGGACATTTGTTTTTGGTGGGCTTGGGTTGCTGCTTGGACGCTGTGACTGCATAGAGCCTTCGCCAAATGTCGATGGCTAGCACAGCAGTGGATTCGTTAGAGGGGACTTATGAAATCGTGGGAATCACCCTCATCCTGAGGATGCTCTCCATGCGCTTATCCTGTCCGGATGTGAACTGCGGGAAAAGAGGAGGGGCACGCCAGATCTGGAAGGAGGCCGGGCGTCATGTGAGGAAGTCTGACACTTGGCTTGGACCGCTGCGAAGTGAAATTCATATTAATTTGCTGCGGAGATGGCGTGGTATCACAAAGCTACTTCACTAAGGTTGCGCCATAAACAAGATCTTTTAACATTTCACACCTGCGCTTCGGCTATTTGCCAAGTGATGCTGACTCTTGAGCGCGGCGTCGGGAATTGGTGTTGCTAATTGGGATGCTGTCCGCAACATAGAGGCAGGAGTCCAATCAAGTAAGTCTTCCGACATCCGGCAGATCATGTTAGACTCAACAAACGTCAAACCCGGAAATCCTCAGCCTTGAGACCGAAACTCAAAGGAATTCTAGCTGTACCTCCAGTTGGAAAAGGGCCCACCAAAAAAAGAGACCGAAACTGAACACTGTCCAAGCTTCACCCCGGAAGACGGTGGGACGCCTGAAAGCTGCTGCTCAACCCCCCTGGCGGGCTGCTCTTGCACAAGGAGCTGGGTTTAGGGTTCAGGGGTTTAGGGTTTAGGGTGGACCCCAACCTTACACCCCGAAGTTCCTGGTGCTTCGGTATGTTTGCACGGGGCTTTGTGCTGCAGTGCCACTGAGTGTATTGAAATGTTCTCTACTGTACTGTACTGGACTGTCAGGTACGGTGGGGTATGGATGTACATACATGCATGCATACATACATATGCACACATGCACGCACATACATATAGATACATAGATATACATATTGGTATACAGGTGATGGAAGCATTGGTTGTTATGGGTACGACCGTCAATCGTAGTAGTAGCAGTAGTAGCAGTAGTAGCAGTAGCAGTAGTAGTAGTAGTAGTAGCAGTAGCAGTAGCAGTAGCAGTAGCAGTAGTAGTAGTAGTAGTAGTAGTAGTAGTAGTAGTAGTAGGAGTAGTAGTAGTAGTAGTAGTAGTAGTAGTAGTAGTAGTACTAGTATTGGTAGTAGTAGCAGTAGCAGTACTAGCACTTCATGGCCACACGTGTCGACACAGTTTCTTGACCATGGAGAATCGCTGCATTGTGACGATGCAGGAGGAAATGCAACAATGACATACTGCGCATTGGCTTTTTGTGCTGCAAGAAGAAGCGACAGGAAACGCTTGCAAAAAAGTATGTCATAAGAAGGGTTGAGTTTCCAGTATGTCGCTGCCGGAGGAATATACGCTTGATATTTACAGGGGCTCCTGAAGAGTCTGGTGGGCTTTTGCGAGGCCTCGTGGTGCCTTCATCTGCCCTTTCAGTGGTTGGTGGCAGCAGTTGCAGATAATGTTCGATCCGCAGTGCTATAGTGTTGGTTGTGTGCGTGTCGATGATGATCATGTTTCTGAGCCGCGCCCGATCTTGACCTGAACCTGAGCAGCGGGCTGGACGAGGGCGCCCGAGAGACCTGCCAGGTTCCACCTTGTTGGCCGTTGGTGGGGGCAGTGATCCGCCGAGCTATATGTTTGGCCACTGTGGCAGCCACCCATGATGGGGCGTTGGCCACTGGTGCAGCCTGCATCGGGGCTTTGGCCACTCTGGCAGCCACCCTTGGGGCCAACGCCCCCATAGCCCGAGGGGTGTGACAGCCGGGCGATGCGCTAATGCACCCGCTGGGGGTGGCGGTGGGATCCAAAAAAGGGAGGCCTCGAGCTTGAATCTTGTGACATGGCTGTGTTGTCTTGCCTTTGGCTTCTGTGAAAACGTGCATGAGGGGTGCTTGCACATGCAAGGTGTAGTATTCACAAGAATATCTAACTTTGCTCTTCAGGTCTCGGCGGACATGGACCTCAAAACCCACGAGCCCCAGATCGCAAAGCTGTTCCTTCAGGGCTGCACCGTGGACACGTGTCTTTTGAACCCTTCCCCTTTCTTGGTGTCACACCGAATTAGGGCAGGGCTAGGTTCTTGCAGGTTCGGCAGCTGTCCCCCCTCGTATATAAGGCGCCGATCGGCACCTGTCCACCCTCCTAGGGCGCCGATCGGCACCCACCATGTAAAAAAAAACGAATTCTATCTGCACGTGCTTGAAATATCATATTCTATCTGCAAGGTTCACACTATTCGAGTACTAGTACTAGTACTAGCAGTAGGACCAGGACTAGGACTAGGACCAGCGGTAGGAGTAGGAGCAGGGGGAGAAGTAATAGTATAGTAGAAGCAGCCGGAGCAGCTTCGTTGCAGTTGCTTGTTGGTGTATCATATCCTGTTATGCAGAATATACTTGATGCCTGGGCTGTGTCGTAGATCTTTCTTTGTTTAACTGTTGGTTGTGTGTCACGGTCATGCTCTTGGTGCCATCTTAGGCCAGCTTAGAACTTCGCGACCGGTGAGAACAAAGTTTGACCTTCAAAGTGTGAATCTGGATGACCTGAACGCTGCCTTGCACTTTCAACACCCTTATTCTCGACACCGAGCATCTGCAAGACTGGAAGCGTCTCTCTGCATTCTTGGTTGTGACAGTTGATGGAACTTGTTTATAATGACACGAGGAGCTCAATTACCTCGGCACAGACTTGATTCTGATTTTCTGGTAGGGTCCATTTCTTACACCCCCAAAGAGTATTCCACAAATTGTAGGAAATCATCTGCTCCCCCAACAACCCTGCACCCTCCAAATCCCAAACCTTGGATCCCTGGGTTCCTTAATTTTCCCACGCAGGTTGGAAAGATGCTTTGCCTGAGGAGTTTCGGGCTGCAGACATCTGTTGTTTTCCTGTAGGGCTTCTGGGGTTGCAGAGTACGGTTGGGGGATTTGGGGTACAGGTCTCTAGGGTTTTGGGTCTAGGGATCTTCCAATGCAAGGATCTGGCTGGTCCCGGCTAGTCCCCAAACCCAGTTGCAAAAAGGGATCTTCCAGGCATCCAGCACGATCCTGGTTCAAAAGGGGTTTTGGAGGTGAACATGAACAGCTTTGTGACTTAGTGCAGCAGCTGGGCATGAGGATGTGCGCTGCAGCCCCTCTTGGGTTTTGTTTAGCACCATTGTCTGGCGCAGTTACAAGAGCTGTCCTACCTCTTCGGGGTTACCAGAGGCGAACACTCCGCTCGCCAATGGGAAGTGCCCGTTGAGACATCTTGTTGTTGCGACATCTTGCTTGAAATGCGAAAGTTTCACATCCTGAACCCACTGGAACAACTGTGATCTCAAGTTCTGATTGCAAAAGTGTTCAATGCTGTGTGATTGTGTGTCTGAACTAAGTGCGTCTACGACCCCTTCTATCCGAACCATCCGCTCCATGGCATGAGTTAAGGTGCAAAGCATTCTCCAGCCCCAGACCCAGTTAGACCAGACCTGCAACATGTTGGCTTCCGTTCTAACCAGAGATGTCAGCATACACTCGACGCTGTTGACAGGCTAGCAGTCTAACACATATGTCTGCATATACATATGGAACCTTGAGACGAACGTGTTGACTTGAAAGGTGCAGCCAGCGCTGCATAAAACTCTCGCCTCTTGAAGCCCTGAAGCGCTTAAACCCTAAACCATCCGAACATCCGTTCTGGCCCCCAACGGGGCACGGTCCAGTACTTAAGGTGGGGCCCTGCATAACAAGGTATGCGAAACTAAGTAATGCCCCAAGCCCATCAGCATTTGCACCTTACTTCCTATGAGTGCTGGACATCACCCCGAAACTGTCACCAAACACCTGCTTGTGGATCCCCACAAGAAACATCAAGATAGGTTCGCCACTTTGCGGTTCCCTATGCCCGCCTGGAGTTTTTAGGTTTAGGTTTTAGGCAGGTACAGGCTTTCGGGAGTTGAGGGTTTATGGCTCCGGTCCGGTGTTTAACGTTTCGGGGTTCAAATGGGTTTCAGCGTCCATGCAGCTCAAGGCTAGAGGGCTTGAGGGCGGTCAGAGATTTTGGGTTCCAGAGCCCGCATGCCGAAGCCCATGGATAAAGAAAACAGCCTGTAGATGCCTGCAGGAATTGCGAGCTGCACGATGTCGTAAGCCCTCAACTCCTAACTGTTGTAGGGTTTGTTGCTGAATTCCTGAGGCCAGCAGCTATCTCAAAGCAATCGAAGGGGAACGGCACGCTAAAGTCATCAGAGCACTAAGGTTGATCTACTGCGACTGGCCGGGAGAACGTTCCCCTGAGCAGCGTCCCATCCAGCCCTTTGCGGCCTTCAACGTCCGAGTCAGGCACGGCCTGGTGAAATGCTGATAACACAGGACCGCTTAATAGTTGGAATAGTGTGTTGGGTGAAATTATACAATACAGTATACCATAACTATACGGGGCTGTGAGCGGAGATTCATTTTTCATTCTTCCGACCTCGACATGTCTTGAGGGTCCTGAAGGAAGGAGGGATTGCGTGATGTCTACGTGCTGTTCATGAGTTATCCAGACTTTCCAGTATTCCTTAATTAAGGAACATACCTTCAATCATATGAGCGCTCCTACTATATTGGACGTCCGGGGCTTATTAGGCCGCTCGCATAAACACAGTTATACATATATATATATATATATATATTTATATTTATATTTATATACTTCACTTATTTACTTACATGGAAAACACCATCCAAAAGCCGAAGCCCTGCAACATCCGACAACACAACACTGCAAACTTGCAAGCCCCAGAAGTATGTGCTATGTACGCCGTTTTCCCTGAAACGGGCTGGGTGCACAGTGTTAGCACCTTTAGTGCCCCGATAAGCCGTTCCAGCTTGGCAAGACAAAACCATAAAGTCAATGGAGTCCTGCTGTTGGAATCATACTCCAGGCTGGACCCAGGTATCCGAAGCCACAGAAAAAAACATCTGCATAGCTGCACCTGGTGAAGTACGTGTAAGCAATCAGCTGCAAACCTGTAAAGTGGACGAGAGGAAGTACCGCCAGCAAAACAGCCCATATCACGGTGAAACTTGAGGAGCCCCGGAAGGTGGCAAGACAAAACCTAAGCCCCAACTCCTATCCCAAAGCCCTAAGCTTAAACCCAAAGCCCAGAACCCCAAACCTCTGACCCAGGAGCCAGCAAAAGGCTGAGCCCCAGAACCCCAAGCCCTAACCCAGAACCCTAAATCTGCAGGGGCTGCGAGTTTGGTGGTGGTGGTGGTGGTGGTGGTGGTGGGGGACCCTAAACCCCCAAACCCCTAAACCCTAAATTTTTAATAAACCGTATAGTTCGGGATCGCGAGTTCTGAGGCAACACCCGGCCGAGGCGACCCTGAGGCGACTTTGGGTTGAGATCCCTGGGGCTTTAAGGGTTTGAGGCCTCAGGATTACTTAGGATTTTGTGATTTAGGATATGCATATATGTATATATAGGTTTGTAAACATACATACAGGGCGTTAAGGCTTTAAGGATTTTGGTGGCGTTCTAGGGTAAAGGTGTCGGGGTTGAGGGTTGTAGGGTTTCAAGGTCTTCAAACTTCGGCAAATTGTAGTTACATGTGAGATCATTCCGGATGATTTCGCTGGTTTGTTTGCCTCTGCACACCCTAGCCCCCTAAACCCTCTCACCGGAAGACTGTGAGACCGCGCAGGACAGATATCGACTCGGTCGATGTCCCCTCGGTTGCAACTACTATATAGGGGCTTAAGTCACCTGCACTGTTTTGAGGGCTCCCTATCACAATTATAGTATAATGGGCCCCCAAAACCCTTTTCTAATTAATAAGGCTCCTATATTCTTGATATTGATGGCGACCGATCGCAGGGCTTTTGGGCTCATTACATGCTGTTCTTGAAAGTATAGGGGGGGTATCGAATCCGGCTTATTATCCGAAACCTCAAACCCTTCTTGCCTAAACCTCAAACCCTAACCCGAAACCGTAAGCCCAACACGGAAACCGACTGCACTGACAGCCAAGGATCTGGTAACAGGCTTAACAGGCGCAGACTGGATTCGCCTTGGCTGCTTGGCCTATGCCAAGAAGCTCGACAGATTTCAGTAGTTCAATTCGGCCTATGGAGTTGATGGGTGTTAGTACATGATGTTAGCGTTTCAGAAAAAGGGGTACCGCAATTTTCTGGTGGCCTAAGTCAAAAACTAGCCAGATCCTCAACAGAACATGAAACATGGCACCCATTTTTTTCAGAGCTTACCATATACCCCAGTCATTCCGTTCGTCATTTCATGCACCCGCCCCGCATCTGCCCGGCTGCTCCGCAGTCCCAAACTACCGTATCCGAACATGTGCTGAGCATGGCGTAATCTGTCTGATACTTCACCCTATTTGGGGAGCGCATGCTACACGATAGAGACGTTTCTTGCCTTTCCTGCAGGTCTACTTACTTATCGGTGGCGCGTAGTTCAACGGCATGCTTGCCATGGGGATTTCGGTATGATTTTCCAACAGATCCGGCCCTGACTTCATGCATTGTTCCCTTCCGCGACCTATACAGCCGCAAGCGACCGCGCTTCCTTCTTCAATTGCACTGCGTCAAGAGCTCAAAGATTTGGTTAGTTCTGGCTGCATAAGAGCCGTTGCGACGACTTAGGTGAAGTAGGTCAGAAGAATAGCGAAGAAGGCTAGCATTTTCTTGTTCTTCTTATCACGAAGCTAATGCTCTCAGCATTACAAGTCGTTTCTTCTGCTTGCGCCCAAGCCACAAAGGACACCAGACGAGGCCAGCGGCCCACCTCCCATGGAGGCCGACGTCGGTCTATCGGGTTTATTGCCGTCGTCGGCATGTTCGTGCTACTGCCAAGCCTGTCTTGTTCTAGTAACGATTTTCCTGTGTACTACTATGAGACTGTTTCATGTGTGTTGGTGTGAGCGGTTTGGTCGCTCTGACTGCCGCCGCAGTTGTTCATGTGTTGTTTCCGGTCATGGTTGTGATCATAGCTGCTTGTACTCATGTGTCTGTCGAGGCAGGGTTACCTCCGCGGCACTTGCTAACGAACTGCTATTGGTCTTAGTAGTTATCTTCCGAGCCCTACACCCCAATTCCGGGTGCCTGGTCCTGTTGAGAGCTGAGAAGACCCAAACAATTTTGAGACTCACCAGGAAATAGTCTTCTGAAGCTTTATGGTGAGGTGCACCCACAACCTGCAACCTCAGCAGAGGTCCTTGTTGTTTCGGTGTTGTTCATGCTGTTAGTACTAGTGATTAGTGACTGGTAGTTCCATGCTTGCGGCACCTGGAGTCAGAACAGGAGGGTACAGATTCCGGAACGGAGTTTAATGTTGTTATCAGGAATCGGCGGTTGTGCTGTTTGTCTCCGGGGCTTGCAGCCTGGACTCTGAAACCTCTCATAACTTTATGAACCCCTCATGTAGGTCCGAAGCCGCAATCCTAGCGAAGGCCCGAGTCCTAAGCCCCGGTGGTGTCTACGGCGAGCCGATTGCAATATCAAGCCTCCAGGTGCCATAGTGTGATGGTCACAAAAATGCGAGTCGTAAAACGTGTGCGTGTGTATTTGTTTTGTATTATAGTATATTATATATATATATATATATAGAGAGAGAGACGTGTGTTTATTGCATATTTGTTTTTAGCGCACAAACTTCGGAGGCTGATAGAACAGAATGCAGCGTAGACTAACCTTCGTGTCAGCTCACTATTTCGCTACTCTTTGTGCTGGACTTGGCTCGTTTTTTGAATGTTACTCCCATAAGTGTCAGAAACTTCATAGTTGATGACAATCAGTGTCACTGCCATGTTTTCTTTTCAGATTCTCCGTAAACTCAAGCCTGCCATTCGCGAACCTATTGGGCGGAGGCTGGACCGTCAGCTGAGCCTCCAAACTTTGAGAGTGCCCCGGTCCAGACGAGTGATGCAATATAGGGGCCTAAATAACTACTATTACAAGTTTGGGGGGTTCCTTATTCTAGTATAATGGCCAATACCCTATTCTAAGTATGACGGCCCCTATACTAGAAGCCTGAAAAACTATCAATAATGCAATTGCGCAGGGGGCCATCATAGGTTTGGGGTGTATGGGTCTCTTGCGTGTCCCACAAAAGTTGAAAGATATTCGATACCACTCCGGACCATCAATGGCCTGGTGGTTCGAGACCTCCTCTGGCAAGTCCGAGTTGCGAGAGCGTCACCCCATCGAGAGCGAGTGACCAAAATGCCCTCAACCCCAGAGCCCCACCTAAACCCCAAACCCTCATCTTGGTAAATTCAGACGAGTTCCCTGTGGTGCGACGTTCTTCAGCTGGGCAGGTGGAAAAAACCCTCATCTGAGGAAAGACTGCTAAACCCTAATCCCTAAACCCTAATCCCTATACCCTAATCCCTATACCCTAATCTCTAATCCCTAAACCCTAAACTAAGGAAAGACTGCCACGGCTGTCGACTCGAATGCTCCCCAAGGGGACCTCTGGGGCGAAAGCCGCTCCTCGCCTAGCAGACTTTCGGGGGCTTCTAGTGGTTGAGTATGGTTTAGGGTCAGGTTTAGAGTTTTATATGGGGTTTAGGGTTTAGGCTCAGGTTTAGGGGTTTTACGGGCTTATATGGGGTTTAGGGTTTAGGATTTGTTTATTGGGGTGTACATGGGGTCCAAGGTTTAGGGTTTAGGGGCTTGCGGGGTTCAGGATTGGGGTGGTAATGGTGGTAGTAGTAGTCGTCGTCGTAGCACTAGTAGTAGTAGTAGTAGTAGTAGTAGTAGTAGTAGAGGAGGAGGAGGAGGATCAGCAGCAGCGGCAACAACGGTGGTACTAGTAATTAGGTATAGTGCTACCTCTTTCAGCTTTCCACCCATAGTCAGACCTCGCCGGCGGGCATAGACGTCCAATCAATGCGAGAGGGAAAGAAATCCCTTTTCCTCTGCCTCCTCGGGGTGCTCACGGCCTAGGGAACCGGAAGCAGCTATGACCCCGAGGCGAGAAGAGTCTCTTTTTCTAGTATAAGTCCCCACATTGACTGAAGTTCTGCATTGTCTGGCGTCCGTTCTGCATTAAACCCTCTACATATTGTCTGCTCCTGATCTTGGAGCATCCGGCCAGGCGCTGACAACGGGGCCGTCTTTTACTACAACATTGACGAATTCAGCCGGCATCTCGTCAAAGACGGTTTGGCTTAGACTTTGAGCGGCAAGCCGCGAGAGCAAGCCAGCTAAACCCCCACGCGGGAACGCTCGTAGCGGTGTGCTCTGGAGATAAGCCGTCGCTGAGGCATGCAAATCCTCGCATCAATATTCCCCGACACCATCATGGTTTGGGTGTCTCAGGGCTTCAGGTTTTCGTATCACCGCTTGCTGGCATTCTTCCGTCGACGGCATCAACCCTGTTGGCTCCCTTATCCCCTACCGGATCAGGTTCCAAAATGGCGAAGTCAAAGAGGCCGCTGTGTGGGCTTGGTGGATTTAGGCTGTAGGAACTGGCTCTGGGTTTGAGTGTGGCGCGATACCATCCCGGACAAGGGTGGAATATTTAGACAGTTGTCTCAGGAAGAGTGAAGAGTTGTTGGTGAACTACTTCTCCTGGGTTTTGTCGCATGCGTCCCATGATCCCGTATAGCATTTTGCATTACTTTAATCAGAGTCCCCGTTTGTTCCCTATTCACTGTCCCAACTGTTAAGGCCCCTCTAAGTCTAAGGTTTCGTCCAGTTTCCTAGTAGCCATAGCGTACTACAGAAGCCTAGATAGTTACCAATATTACTCCTTAGGGTTCCTTATCATAATTATTTATACTATATATAGACCCCCAAACCCTATTCTAATTATTATTCTAACTATATTAAGGCTCCCGCATCATCGCCACCTTTTTCTCCGCAGTTCTGGCTCGATTGCCAGGTGCCGCAGTCGAGGTGGGAGCTGCCTCCCGGAGCCCGTTTACAGCGGGAATCAGAGGACTTCTGAGGCCAGAGGTAATCTACCCAAAGTAGTTCCTTTTTGGGGTTTCTATATAGAATCCTAGAGGGTAATCCCCAAAAGGAGCTACTTTGGGGCCCTTGGGTAGGGACACCACCTGCTGCATTGCGTCTAGCATCTTTGGAAACTCTCGCACCGAAACATCTAGAGCTTGCACTGCGCTAAGCCTACTGCTACCTTGCGCCGCTCCTGGTAAAAGGCCCCGAACCCTAAACCCCTCTCCCTCCCTCTCTCAAAATACAACGGATAGGTTAATGTAGACGCCTTAATTAGTCGACCAACACGCAGCACGGCCCTTCACGCAGTGCCAACCCCCAACAGGCAGGAGGCCCTGGAATTGGCGCGGATGCAATTGCCTAGCAAGATCCACGCCGTCAGGACCCAAGTTTGGGAAACCCAAAACTGCACACGTAGTGAAGAAGGGCTTGTACGTATGTATATATATATATATATACATATTATAATTATAAATATATTATACATACATACCTACATACACACATACCTACATACGTACGTACATACATGCATACATACATACAGACATACATAGATACATCCTTACATCCATACATCTATACATGCATGCATGCATACCTGGGTATATTCATATACTTACAGACATATAGAGAAATATGCCAGTGTCTGGCCCATGCACGAGCTCCCTGTCATCCACAGTCGCCATAGCCCACTGGACTGGTTTGAAGCGAAAGCTGAGGCAGGATAGCTTTTTCAGTGGCGGATTGGCCCACTGCAGTGGAGGACTTGCATCGTCATAGAGTCTTCGGGATTTGCTCTGGGGTTCTTGTCATGTTGTGTGTGTGTGTGTTGTTGTGTTTATGACCGCGGTCGCCAAAGCCAGAAGATCACCGCAGAAGGCCATTGCCTGGAGCCCGACAAGACAGCGCAAACCTCTGCCCTTTGCGAACTCGAAGAGCTCGAAGATGACTCCTGCAAGACGCTGTGCGCCCGCTCCATCGAGTTGCGATCCGCGCCTAAATGCTTGTACGGATGAAGACGTTCAAAGACCTTCGGCCCGCCGGCAGCATCGAGCTCAGATCAAGGAAAGATTCGGACCACGGGTCCATATATGAGTATGAGCAAGGACACACAGAAGATCTCACGGCGTCAGAAACAGATGCATGAGCTCCTGCTTTCTGCGCCAGAGATGGAACAGGGCTCCTGAGTGCCGTTTTGCCGCACAATCCGGCTCCCATATACAGCGGCCCGCACGCAGCGTCGAAGCTAGAGCTCAGATCACATCAGCCGGCGTCAGAAACAGATGTATGAGCAAGGACATGTTGCGGAGAAAGTCAGCGGCATGTCGGCATTCGCTGAAAGGTGACAGTGACGGCTTCCACAGGCGTCGTCTTCGTTCAAGATCAGGCGTGGGCGGGACATTTCATCTTTCGTTGGCGAGAACCTGTCAGCGCAGCACCCGTCACCTAGTATCCCCATGTGGAGCGGCGTTCCAAGTACGGCCTTGTGATGCAGGTCCGATCATCAATCTACAGGCAGCTCTGCGACGGCAGGCTTCACGACTTTTGCCGAGGGGGCTTGGGGGGCTGCCAGGTTCAGCATTCAGGACTTGCGTCGCGGCTCTTTGGAAGGGGCGATTTATACTTTCATTCGGGACTTTGTTGAGCTCCTCCAGAGAGAGCAACAGGGTGAACAGTTCGAGATACCGAAACGATGGTAAAACTCATTGTCCGAGGAGTGCGCCGATGGATCATCCGGGCCTGTGTGAAAGCCTAAGAAAGCCCCGTCAGTAATGCTTTAAACTTGAGCTTTTAACCCCTTGAACCTTCAAGCCTTATTGCGCGGCCTCAGGGTACCGGGATAAATTGAATCGTGCCTGTCACCTCGGCGTTAAATGTCTCATAAGTGGGCGTGCAGTGTATAGTGTAGCCTTCCTTGATTGTTGAGGCTTCCCCGTAGCCTTCAAGTGCAGCTTACGACGCAAAAGCCTGCCTACCACCCTAAACTCAGAACCCAGCTGGGCAGGAGGTGCAAAAGCCTAAAGCCTAAACCCCTAAACCCTAAAACCTTCGGAAAAAAGAAACCTTCCCTCCAACATCAAGCCCTACTTGCTCTTCAGGAGCTCGGAGCACTAGCAGCCGATCCGGACCTGGAAATCGACTTTTGGCCCACATCCTTCCAGGCTGGCCTTGGGCCGAAGGGTTCCTTTAAATAGGGCGAAAAAGGGTTACTATAGGGGGTCTATCAGGGATCTATGCAGGGTTTAGGGTTTAGGGTAGGAACCTGATTAGGAAACCTTGGGCCTTTATTAGGGTTCCTTATACGAAACCTATTATCTGGGGGGTTCTAGGCCCAGGGTTTCTTCATCTGGTTCCTACATTAATGGAGGAACCTGATTAGTTTGATTGAGAAACCCTGGCCCTCTTATCCCAAAATAGTAGGAGCCATGTAAAGAAGCCTAACAAAGAGTCAGGATTTCTTACATTACAAAAGATGGTATCGCGAAGGCTTAAGGGAATATACCCTCAACCCTTCGCAGCCGCTGCGTACTCTGAACACGCGAAACCAGACCGGTCAACTTAAATGTTTACTTGCTATAAATTAAGAAGTTAAGAGAGCCTACCAAACCCCTGCAGGACCCTGTAAACTCCGTTACCATAAGCCTCCAGCTTCATGCCCTCATGCAAGCACCTTAAACCCGGGAACTTGGAACGATTTCTATGCGCCACCCTCATCGTTCCCGTCATGACAATTGTGAATCTGTGTTCTGCGTCGCAACCCCAACCAGGATCGCGACAGTTCTGTGCAAATCAACACCCTCATGCAGTAGCATTTACTATAGGGCCCTTAATAATTACCTATACTGTTTTTGGGGCTCCTTTTCACAATTATAGTACAATGGGCCCAACCACCCTATTCGAATTATTGACGCTCCTATACTATCACTGTCGCCAAGTCAGGCCGGTCCTCGTGCTACCTTCATTCTACCTCCTCGCCGCAATGCGCTACGACAAGCACTGGGACTAGTGCGGGTGCGTGGTAATATTGGGGTCGTGCCGGTGACGGAAAGTCGGCAAGGTAAACTTGTGCTGGAGCTCAGGATCTGCACGGCTGCGAACTGGAGGCCAGAACGCGCAGATGGGCCTGGTCACGTTTCGAGTGTTTTGAGGTCTTGAATTCAGTGGGCTCTTGTGATGTCGAGCTCAGTCGTACCAGCCAACATGGAATTTGATTAGCCCGTTCTCCTGGTTTCCTTCAAAACCCAGTTTAGTGCGTTAGTATTGGGGCGCCGAGCGGGACGGCAGCATTGTATGTTCCATCATAGCCTCCAGGGAGAACCTGTGCACCACATTGTCCCGACCCAGGCTCAGATCACGGAAACGAGTATGAGCAAGGAGATCAGATCACCTGATTTTGCGTATGAGCAAGGACGTCCACAAAGTGCTCGGGTCACGGAAGCAGCCGAGATTGAGTATGAGCAAGGACCCGCTTTGTTCCGTCACACATGCACACCAGCATTCCCTGAAGGAGGTGGAGACCAGCGACAGTTTCGGAGAGCAGGCAGACCCGGAAGACGTGCGTAGTGATTGTGTTTGCAGGCCCAAGTTTTGCACATAACATAAAGTAGGGAGGTCGAGACACAAGCAGCGCTTTATCCAGGGGCCGGCTGACCTTCGTGACAGAAGTCCTCGCACGCTTTGTTTTTTTGACAGGTTCCGGCAACGAACGAATTTACCAACAGGGAATTCCTTACTAGTTCGGACAGGATGTGTGCTATCCAACTTTCCTTTCACACCAGGGCGCCCGTGAGTTATCAGACGCTGTTTTAATTCAAGCTTTTTGCTCTGTTCTTACCCCTACAATTCCCTCCTCCTTACTGCTACTGCTTCTGTACAGTCGTCAGCGCAACCGTGTCTGCTGCATTGCTCGTTGTCGTTTGTTGCTGTTGGGTTTTTTTGGCATCGTTTGCAGCAGGTGCCAAAGCGAGTTCGCGCTCTGGTTCGATCCCGTGAGATGCCATGCGTGATTGTTAGGTTCCAGTTAATTCAACTGGCTCCGAGAATGTCCTAAGCTTTCCTAAACCAGAAAGCCTAACCCTCTTGGCATCTATCTCCGCGTCCTCGTCGCCTAGAGCACGCGAGGCCCAGCAAAGAGCACTGCTGCGATCCTCGTGCGAACAGATCTGGAAGAAGCCGCAGCGAAGAGTGTCCTTCTTAAGCTTGCCGAAGTCTTTCTGCAACAGGCACTGAAACCCTGAACCCTAAACCTAAACCCTAAACCCCTAAACCCTGAACCCTAAACACTAATGCCCTTTGCTTCTCCTCAATCTGGATACTAAGTCGGACAGAGTCTTGAGAATTATCCGGATAAGTTGGAATTTCACTCGCCACGTGCCTGCGGGCAAGTTTCTTGGCGAGTGCTAGAAAAGAGCCGAGCAGCGCGCCCTCAGGGACTCGATGTCGCAGCGGCGAACTGTCTAGGCTTTGTAGCATCAGAATCCAACCTAAACCGTAAGTTCTAAACTCCAAGCTCTGAGCCCCGGACCTCTTGACACCAGATCATGAAGATGACAGAGTCGTCGACACTTGCGCCAGGGTGTTTGCAACGAGTTGAGGTTTGTCAGGCCCGGTAAATTTGTTTTAAGCCTGAAGTGGCTACCTGCCGAGCCGAATCGAGCAATCCCGAGAATGTTATGTTCTTGCCCCGTGACTCTCACAGTGTCGCTGACTCCGAGCTATTCGAAGTAGGCCTGACCTCTTTTGTTTATGTGACACGATGTCTACGATTTTTTTCGTTGTTGAGTGAAGGCAAGAAACATGGAACGTGAGGTCAAGCACTTCTTGGGCAGCTTAGACTTTTGGCTCCGTGCCTTGGCTTCTTCGGGGTAGCTGTACCTCGAACCCCCAAGCCAGCCGCTGAAGAGGGTCAGCGCCTAAAGCTCTAAACCGCAGGAGGTCCCAGACGCTACCGGATAAACTCTTTGCAAGCTTCGGAGTGGTCTAGCTTTG